GCGGAAGTGATGGTTGACCAAATAGGGAAAGAGTAATTACAACGCCTTGGTTTACACTACTTATCACATCTTGCGCTGTACCTCCATATTCAGATACAATACTTCCTAAATACTGGAATTTTGTCCTTCATTAATACGTACAATGATTCTTATATGTTTTAACTATAATTTTTTGTCTGATTATTCCGATCCATCAGAATAAACACTTTTTTGTGCTCTTTGACTCAAGGTTCCACTTATAATCACATGTTTAGCGTACTGTAGCTGTTGTAGCTACGAGTGTGCCTATTATAATCAGTAATCAATCGTTAATTATCAATTGTACCAGTTGTTAATTAATACAAAATTAATTGATGGTTTTTGTTTTCTGTTCAACCCACCGGCTGGTTGTGGGAATAATACTAACACATATATTAAATTTTTTAGTATTATTGTAAAAATAAATTGATGTGATTGTAGTTTTAATTGATTAGAAGTATTACTTCTTGCTCTACACTTTTATAAACTTTTTTACTTGTTCAAGTAGAACACATATAAAAACGCTCTCAAGTAACGAAACAAATTACTGTTGAGTTAATCAACATTTATAAAATAAAAGTTATTCATATTGAAAACTGCCAATAAATGTATATACCTACAGTAAACATGATATATGTTTTTATTTACAAATATTTAATGATTGATTCGAAACGACAAGTAATTTTCTACTGCACCAAAATAATTATACTTACATTATTAATACTAGGCTAGGTATTGCTTAAGAAAATTAAATAAATAAGTAACTTAAAACGTGTAAATGTGTAACATTAAATGATAAAATTAATGTAATTTTAGTTCAGAAAGTGTTTATTATATGCAATTAAGAAATTGTTCATGTGCGATTCTGTTAGGAAACCAAAACTACGAAATGCTTAAACAACGCTTAAAAGTGGTTTATTAAGCTTACTATTCTGTGTTTAAGTATTGCAAAATTCTTTTGCCAGTAATAAATATAAAATAAATATGATTTATAGTCGGATCGATTTTTTACATAATAATTTTCTTTTGCGAAATTAATGTATCGCACAGATTGCGTTGTAATCTACAATTTCGTTTTCAAATGCTCGAAATTGAAAGCATTTTTCTATGGCAACTTTTAGCCAAGTATGATTGCTCCGACTGCACATTGCGTTCCTTTCCAACTTTGCACATTTCGCGGGTTGCACAATTTTCAAACATAACTCCAAAGAAATTCATTTCATAGACCCATAACCACACAACGAGTTTTTCGCTCTACACGTTATTTTAGCTGAATTTAATCTTTTCGGCAACTTTTTACTTCAAGCGCTGCAATTTTAATTGAAATACATTTTTGTATTCGCTTTTGCAATGAAAAGCAGAAATAATGGAAATAAACTGCAAGTAAAATGTAATGCAAAAATTCGAATATCGTGTGAAATACCAATAAATTTATTAAAAGACATGACATTATTGCTAATCGCAACCAATTTCTTCTTCAATAATCAATTAAGTGTTTGTTTATATTAACTTTAATGATCGTTAACATTAAATTGGAAGTAATTATTAGGTTAATATAGTATTATTATAGATGTTGTTGTTATAATAACCCATTTTACATGTTTATTTTAAGATCTGTACTTATAATTTGATAAGGAAATAATTTTCTCAAGCACTTAATAGGGTAATTTAGCATAAAAATACTTGCCAATCTATAATATTAAAACCGCAAAGTAATTTAATAACTAAATAAAGACCTAGAGATTTCCAGCGCTATTATTAAACCTTTAATTGTAATACTAAACAGTAGGACTTAACTGACGGATAATTCATTTCTGAATTTGATTTGAATTATTGAACGATTTGAATTCTGAATTTGATTTGGCAATAAATCTGTTATTTACATGTCAATCGATTGTACTAAATACAGATCTCATACTTTAAGATATCGAACCTTATCTTGTCACATTGTAACATCTTACTGGTCATTGTTACAATGTTTTCTTAACGGTTATTCCTTTAATGGTTTCATTTTAAAGAGTATGCCTAGTAGTCCGAAGAGGATATGTAAACTAAAATAATAATTTCCTTAATATAACAGCTGATTTACTCATAGAGAAAGTAAAACAATGTTAATACATATACTTTTATCATATTCGTAAAATTAACTGAAATCAGTCCTTCCTTTTATACATCTAAACACATGTTATGCACATAGTTGTATCAATCAGATCCTTTTTATTTTAATAAATTAATAGTGATGGAATTCTTACTAGATATATTTTCTACTTGTTATTCTACAACTTCTTAAGAGCAGTAACACTTTCTTGGAATTAAGGCATTTCAATTTTAATTTCAGCTCTAATGGATTTTCTGCAGGCATGTCGTATTTCCTGCTATCTCTAGAAAATCTTCATTCGGCGCATAATATTTCTTACTTATTTGAAAGTAATATTTTTCTATGTACCTTACATAGAATCCAATTTCATTGATTCGTTTTCGACAAATTCACTAATATTGAACTCATATTCATAAAGAGTCCCTCTTTAAGGTTTCAATCGATTAATTTCGCTATTTAATACGCTAGTAGTCTAACTGCCATATAGATATATAGGTAGACAACAGCAGTGACTATATTGCTTTGTTGCATCATACTGATTAAAAATATGCACATAAAAATCTAGATAAAAAGTAATATATTATCCAAACTATTCATTAAATTATAATTTTTAATAAATATTTAAACTTTTTATACTTATTGACATTGAATATTTAAAAGTTACCGCGTTTAAAGTTTAATCGAAATTTTTCTTTTGCTCTCATTCTCAAATTTTTAATTTACATTGAAAACAACAACATTTAGGACCCAAGAATTGAACCCATTGTGATTAACTGATACCTAAATTTCTTATAAAGAATAATCAGTTTTTATAATTAAATATTATTATTAAGGACGTGTGCGAGTTAGGCTAAGTTAATGCTAAACCAAATGGGAGATTTTTTGGGATTTTTTACACTGCACACATTTGGCTATTTATCAACACGTATCGACACATCACTACATTATCGGCACAACTTAGAATTTCCCTCATTTAGAACGCAACTTAGCCTAACTCGCACACGACCTAAGTTAAATTCAAATCAAATTAAGTCAAATAAAGTATCACTACCTGTCAGGCGGCTAAAGCCATATCGTACATTTCTCTTCCAATTGTAACTTAATAATAATACATCACTACTATGTAAATTATATACATGATATGGTTTTGTAATAGTAATAAAATTTCATTCAATGTATCGTTGAATAAATTGACTAAATAATAGACATAAAAATTATATTATTACTGAGTTTATATTATTAATGAGTTATTAGAAATTAAAATCATATTATTGCTTATAAATATTAATATGTCATTATTATTTTAATTTTAATTATAGCAAATAATTATAATGGCGGATTTAACTCCAGTACAAGAGTACTATAAGGGTAAAACAGTGTTTATCACTGGTGCTTCTGGATTCATGGGAAAAGTGCTTTTAGAGAAATTGCTCTATTCGTGCTCTGAATTGAAGGAAGTGATTATAATTGTGCGTCCCAAACGTGGAAAGACTCCAGATATCAGATTAGAAGAAATGTTCAAATTGCCGGTAAGCTTCATCATATATAATCCAAAATAAGAATATATAATTATTTTGTAATTATAAAATATATTTTCATATTTTATTTGAATAGATTTTTCAACGCATTAAAGAAGAAAAACCAGATGTGCTTAATAAAGTGACAATTTATCAGGGTGATGTAACATTTGACTGTGAGTCATTGTAAAACTGTCATTAATGAAAACAATAATAATTAAATTTTTTTTTATAGCACTTGGATTAAGTGGTGATAATTACAAGCATGTTGTTGACAATACAAATATTGTTTTCCATATGGCTGCCACACTGAAGTTGGAAGGCAATTTAAAGGATGCGATTGAAATGAATTTGACTGGCACCAAACGTGCTTTGTGCATCGCAAAGGAAATGAAAAATCTTGAGGCATTCATACATTTGTCGACAGCATTTTGTAATTGCGATCAGGAAGTGATGTATGAGAAGGTGTACGAATATCCACATAAACCAGAGGACTTAATGCGTTTAGCTGAATGGATGGATGTCAAGTCTTTGGATGCAATTACACCAGATTTATTAAAACCACATCCAAATACTTACACATACTCAAAACGTCTGGCAGAACTATATGTACGCGATCACTATGAAACAATGCCTGTGATCATAGCCCGTCCAAGTATTGGTGAGTCATTAGCAAAGTTTTGGTTTTGTTTTTTGATATATCGCTTAGTGGAGAATTGCATAATCCTTCCTTATTTATTTATTGGTTGAGAGGTTAAAAGAAAAACTGAATTTGCCAAACACGTTTGTTCACTCACTGCAAAAAGACAAATTTTATTAAATCCATAAACAAACACAAGCTCTTAAAATTCTCTACAAGACATTGTTGTAAGCGTAAAATTCGTGACGATTACATGTTAGTTCAGTAAAGTGCAGTTCTTTTTATATAATATTTTTCAGTATAATTGCTAAAAAGCCAGTTATGATATTAACGTTTTTATATATGATATAAAACGGTTTATAGGATACTTAATTTTAAAATATTTTATTATTGTTTTACAACTTAAAATTATTCGTAGTATGAGGACAAACCGACTGTTTCATAATTTTCCATAAAAAATTTTTACTAGTAAAGTTATAAACGATTACATCTTAAAATTAATTATCATTAACAGAAATTATGAAATTTTTTAATATAATCAATTTTTAATAGAGTAAGAAAAATTTAGTTTAAATTGGTTTTATAAATAATTTTACACATAATTTTATAAAGAGTAATAACATCTGTATCACTAAATTAATCGTTCAGTATCTTTTTACATAACAATTTTTAATAGACACAACAGTTTAACTTAAATACTCACTTAAAGTAAATTTTATCTTCTCGGTCTTAATTTTGTATAGTTTCAAATTACAACTGACTAAATATTGTTCGAAATATAATGCAATTATTATAAACATTAAAACATCTAAATGGTACCATACTACCTAGAACCTTCTCTCCTTCTCTTCATATCATTAATATATCGAGAGTTATTAAGATAAAATCAACATCAGGGAGGTATAGTACAAATAAGTGGTAACATTTCACTACATCAATACTTTTTTTCTTTAAAAACATGATTCTACGGCAAGAAAACTCTTATTAGGCCTTAGCGTATTAGCTGTCCTAGTCCAATTAAGGTCAATGTATAAACATGTACTACACAGTTCCGTGTCACGCTTGAATACGTAACATAATAAATTCTCAATGAATGTCCCAATTCAGCTGTTCTTCCTATAACGCCGTTCATCTGTTTTTTTGTCACAATACATAATTTGAACCATTTTGATCATTCCTTGTTCTTATTATTTTGTTCTTCTCATTCCACCTTTCACTAAATCGTATCGTAACCAATATATTGGCTAAGATTGTATTGCAATTTCTTTCGTATTCCCTGCTATACAGATCATTACCGTTTACAAATATTTAAAATTAAAACGAAAATGTATAAATATCTCATTAGTTCATTGAACTTTTAAGGTTTAAAATTTGAATACTGAATTCTTAATGAATTTGTAACACTGATTTCAGTACATCCCTATTTTAGTTGTAAGAATATTGAACGGAAACATTTTACATCAGTTTTGGAATATGAGATATGAGATATATTTTTTTTTTATTTCCTTAGTAGAAATTAGCTGAGTTGGTTGGTGGGTTACTTAACTTGTCTTTTCGCTGCTATCTCAACAAAATTTCATTGTCTTATATGATAGAATATAATCTTTATTTGCGAGGCTTGAAAGTTTCTAGTCATTTTATATATGATAGCATAGCTTTGTTCTGGGATATTAGTAGTATCCTGGAATACCCTACTCTGGAATCTTGACCCTGTTTAATGTGTTCCTTCACAAAAGTTATCGTATTTATATATTATAAAGGCTTATGTGAAAAAACTGAAAATATGAAGTTATAACGTTTTAATAACTATTATTCGTTTATATTGCCGATGTAGATTTTATGAGTTGTGCACTTAAGTTGAGTTATGAAAATAATCTGCCTTGACGATTAAGTCATGAAAAACCCCAAGGCCTTAGCAACGCTAAGCGTATAAAATATATTAAAAAGATTTAATATAACGTATTACGATTTTATATAACTGTCAACAGTAAACTTTTGAAAATTTGAAAAAAAGTCTTTTCGTTATTTAGAGGGAATACTATTTGATACGTTAAGGACTGATTACAGTGTTCACGATCTACAAAGTAGTAATAGTTAACTTAATAACGTAATTACAAAGAATGATTTCAATATATAAAACGTAAAAAAAAATCTTATGATAGGTCTAATATTTACAGAGATACAGCAGATTCTACTTGAAAAAACTTCCAGTTGAAAAATTCTCTATATATCTATAGTTTTATCGGACTGGTTTATTAATATTTAAAAATTTCCGCATTTTTTAGTTTGAATTTTTTATTTTTTTTATATTTTTATCACTTTCAATCTCGTTTGCATATATCACGAAACAGACTCACTCTTTATTGGCATTCTACCCAAAGAGTTTTCGCTACTGCGAAAACTAGACACCATTAAGCGCCACTTAAAACAAGTAGTCTTACTGCTCAACGAGCCTCTTTAAGTTCAACTGTGGAAACTCAAAAACCGAACCAGTTTATTGCGTGGCAACATACATACACAAATATATTGTAACTGCACTTTGTATCTACATTACACAATGACTGAATTTACAAACATTTGTTTTAATTAAAAAATAAGACTAAAACAACAACAACTGGAAATGAAATCGTAACAGACAGCACGTGCAGATATTCTTGAAAAAAAACTGTAATTTGAGGTTGCATGCCTCATAGGCGATTTGTGGGTTGTAATTACCTTACTTAGAGGTTACGCCCATTTTAAAATTGATACTTATAAAACAATTGTATAGGAATTATAAAACTTTAAATGATAATTATAATTAATTGATTTTGGTATGTAATTTACACTAACACATGAGTACATCACTTATTACCTTTTTGCAGTGTAGTGACAAACGTCAATCAGATATAATGCTAAATTCTTATGATTCTCGCAAATGATCGCTACTCAATTATTTAATTAAAGAATTCCTGCTTAATCGATAATTTAATACAAGTAAAAATTAATGAATTAATTAAACATATATATATTGTACAGTGTATATTATTGCCAACAATAATCGTAGATAATATTTTACAGTAATTTAGTTATCTATTTTATTTTTTATGTTATATATTACATTTTAAAAAACTATTGTATGAATACTATAGAGCGTAAATAAGATACGATGAATAAGATAAAATAAGTAGGATAAGATAATTGAGATAAGATAAGTATTATAACAGATACTGTGAGAAAACAGTATAACAGTGAGATAAGTATTATAGGATAAGTAAGATAAAATTTATTTTATAAATTGGAATTTTGAATTTCACAATAATAATTTTAAATGTATATAATGATTTGCTCAAGTTATTAATTGCCAAAAAAAGATAATTTATCTTTGTGTACTTCCAGACTAATTTTACAAACATAATTATATTGTATATAGTGTTAGATACCATAGCAAGAAAGAGGTAAAATTAGTCTTATAATTTGTGGGTTTAAATATGAAAATGATAGTTTAAATATTTATATTTGCATTAAATTATTATAATATTGTAGATTCGCGCGTGGCATATACCGACGAAATTTTTGTTCAAATGTATATATACTAGAATATGTCCGCATTTTAATGTCGTAGATTCATCCGTAATATTAAACATTCCAAAATAATTTTTGTTAATATTTGCGAAATTCGATTTAAAATCACTCTATATGTAGTCAAACAATAGACAGAGAATAAACTTTCTGTCTATGCCTGTTGAGTTTTGGATTATAAAAAGAACTAATTTTTAGTAAAATATTTTCGTAGTCTGTCAAACTGTTCATCAATAAGAAAATGAAGATTAGTATAAGATCAAAAGATTTTGTAATCTTTTCTGGATTTAAATCTATATGGATAAAGTTTATCTTTAAGAGATTCTAAATTGCAATGTGATATTAAATTAACGAATAATTGTTAATATCATGAAACCAATTAATTTTCATCCACAAATTCAGTATATGTTTTTATATTATTTTTAATGATATCTCAAGAATTTATTATAGTGAAAGAAAAATTCCCGTGGTCCATAATTTCAGACATTGAAAATGCCTCCCTTGCATATTGAGCTAGAGAACATTTTATGTTTATTTTATATTTAGTATATTCTAATTTATTTTATACCAATTACGAAGTAAGCAAAGTGTGCTGAACCTAGTTTATGTTTTATTATTATTTCTAATTATTATTTTTTTTATTATTATTTATTTATTATTTTTATTATTATTTGTTATGAAATTTTTTATTTATTTTTAATTATGCATTATTTAATTACTGTTATACAATACTATTTTATGACATTTAATTATTTTGCATATTATTTTGTACAATATTATTGTTTGTAATAGTAGTACATATAAATTGTAAGCTGAATTTAATATAATATACGTACATTGAAAACATTACTATATCAAATTACTTGTATTAAATCATTTTCAATTAATATAACTGAGCTTCTAATGATCTATAATTTATGCATCTCCTATACTTTAAAGTTATCTAATAACCTTCTGATTGCTTCTTTTGTAAATGTAAATAAAAATTATTAAATTTAAGTTTTTATGCTTAAATATTTTTTGATTACTTTTTAAGTGTGAATTAAGTGTCAATTATCCACAAATGATGATCATTATTTGATCAGCAATGCTTGCACCAAAAAAAGCTTAAAATAAACAATGAACAATCAAATAAAATGATGGTTTTATCTCTTTATTAAAATATGCAAAGACAAACTATGGTATGCTAATTAATTCTTCAGTGCTTTCATTAAAAACATATGTGAATTATTTCAAGATACTTTACCAGCAAAGAAAGTGCTCAAATATCTGAAATCGATTCCAATTGTTATAAAAGTGAACACAAATAAATAACACTCAAGATAATTAATTTTTATTTACAAAATATATATTTTTGTACAATATAATATAATTAATATAATCACAATGTCTTATAAAATCGCAATTTTTTTAATTAACTAACAAGCAATTCAAATATAGTGACTTAAATATTGGTTACTTACTATGCTATACACTCAATACTAGACCATATCGTCTTAATCGTCTTAACATAGTAGATTTTAAAGTGCTTTGAGTTTTTTCTATTCAAACTGTACTTCAAATATTGCGGATAAAAAAAGCAGAATTGTTAATATGTGTAAGTTTTTTAACGTTAGACATGTTAAATTTGTTATTTCAATCAATGCTATGTTCGAAAAGTTGATTGACTTTGAGTTCTCTGTTCTAGGGGGCCCGGAAATGTGCTATGTACAGCTGTAAAATCGTTATCCTGAATTTGTTATTGCCATAACTGACCAGATTTCCCTAAAAAAGTGGAAAGACAGCTATACATTACATACGCATTATAGTTTCTAGAGTTTCCACGAAACCTTATATACTAGAGTATCTATTAAAGTAGATACTCTTTTTAATATATAAATTTAAAAGCTTACAAACATTACAATTTCTAAGTTGTAGGATTTTGGATTTAGAGATTTATTGTTCCCCCTTGATATCCGAACTCATACTCCAATTTATTTACCAGAGTCGATGAATAGAATATCATACGCCCAGATTTACGATCTGAAGACATTACTATAAGTATTAACATCAAAGTTGTGATTTTACAATTTCTATTTTCTTCTATTGAGTTCAATTTTAAATTTAGTCCTTTTTAAATAAGTTTACAAATAAAAATAGTAGTGTAGTTTTTAAAGATTAGATAAAATTTTCAAATAGTGTTTTATTAGATTTCAGTTTGAATATTATGATTTGAGCTGCATTACCTTATTTTTTATATATAAACACAAAATGTATATAAAGCAAATATCCTCAGTACCTTATATACACGCCTAACTATATCAATGCTTAAAATACACCCAACACTCTTGCTTCTCTCTACTATTTTGCAATTCTTACAACAACTGAAACGCTCAATACGTGTGTGATGAAGTCATTACCAGTAACTGCTTTTGCAAGAGAAAATTTTAAAAATTCCAGCAACGGTATTTTTCTCTGAATGCTTGACACAAACATATATGCTTCCGCAGAGCTGTAAAAATTTTACTAAGGAGCCGCAATTCGGTATGTTAAACAACAAAAACACGCGTTGCGTGGGTTAAACCTATTGTATATAAATGTGTTCGATGTTATGGCCCACATGTGCCATATGCCACCCATCTACCATGTATACTAATAAATGTCAACTGCTTTACGCTACTGATACTCGTATGTAGTATCACCTTCAGCATATGAACCGATACCTGGCTGGGTGGACAATTTAAATGGACCCACTGGACTTATGGTTGGGGCTGGTAAAGGCGTTATACGTTCAATGTTAATCGACACGCGTCAAAAATCTGAAGTTATACCAGTGGATTATGCTATTAATGGTCTTGTTACCATACCATACAAATTCAGCATTGAGGATCGGTATTTTTAAACGAAACCTTATATAAAACATTTTGAAGAAGATTAACATTTCTAGACCAAACGACATACCGGTCTATAACATCACATGCGCTGATCATCGCAAAATTCCGTGGGGCGAGGTAATTGAATTGAGTAAAAAAATTGGCTATCAGTATCCGGTTGAGGCTGGACTATGGTATCCAGACGGCTGCATAACTACTAATCGTTTTCACCATCAAATAAATGTATTACTTTTTCACTGGATGCCGGCTTACTTTATAGATTTTATACTTTTTATATTAGGACAAAAACGTTTGTAAGTTATTCATAACCTCAGCTAAGGTCTATTATGTTATATCATTTTTAAAAATGGAACTTTTAGTAAGTATGTATATAATGTCTATTTGACTATCATTAGCATGATACGCGTACAGAATCGTGTACAAATCGGATTAGAGGTTCTACAATTTTTCACAATGCGTGCTTGGGACTTCAAGTCCACTGGATATGCTTCACTCTGGAACATACTGTCGGAAGCTGATCAGAAAATGTAGGTAAAACCTTAATAAAAAAAGTTATTAAGGCACTATAATTTTGTCCACATATAGTTTTAATATGAATATGGACCCAACGGAAGATATAGAAATGTATATGGTGTCGTGTGTGCAAGGTGGACGACAATATTTGCTAAAGGAATCACCAGAGTCTTTGCCACGAGCACGTAGACAATTAAAATTGTAAGCTTAAGGTTAGAAAGTTCTGAATATATACATATAAAAATGTGTTTATAGAATGTATTT